AGTGGGCTTTTCGTGTTAATGAATCACAGTCATTATGCACAGATTTGAGAGAACTTGGTATACCCGTACCATATAGACTTTCGCTTACCATGCCCAGAAAGAATAGAGTCAACTATGAGGCATCAGTTAAACGTATACGAAAAGAGAATAATAGGATGATGATCCGCAAGTGTTGATATTATATGCTCTAAATAGCATCTGACATGGTTACAACTGCATTTGACAGGGAGTTAACAGCTACTGAACGATCTAAGGTATTGTCTAATGAACAATACCTATCAGATGAGTATATGTCTGATGAAAATTAAAATTTTTAATTACTGTTCACCTTATTAAGCATATAACGTTTATGTCTATGTTTTATTTACTTTAATCATCATTGTTGTTTTATGAGTTTATTCAGTGTGTTGTCATATGTCAACTTTTTTATTGTCACATCTTGTACTTGTCAATGTATGCAGTGTGTTGTCACTTTAATCAATCTATGCAGTGTGTAGTCAATCTATGCATTATGTTGTCAATTTATGCAGTGTGTTGTCATATATATACTATCTTTCACAGTTGTGTAAATACACCACCATCAAAAAAAATATATAGGAGCACATCACATGCAAGTTCTTCTTCACGCAATCACCAAAATAGTTCATCTTCGGGTAACAAATGTGAATGCTCAACAGACAGCTCAACATCGCTGAACAAAGTTTCTTCTATCGAATCATATACCGACTCCAGTGGTGTAACGTGATATGGACGAAAGCGTGCATTCCACAATGAACTCATCGACCCTTATCACCCATTCGGACAAGCTGGACATGTAATTATTGGGTCTGTAACTGATTATCCACCTTCAGGTGCTCATATCGAACGCACACCAATATGGCGACAATTATATGACAAACGTTGTGACCTTGAAGTATTTTGTCGTTGGCATGAAATTGCAGTACCAAACACACATTCGGTTGATATTTACAATTTACATAATTCAAACAATCATGACGAGGTCATTTCAAGGCTTGAACGTGAAAATAATCAAATGCAGCGTTGTCTTGATCGTTCACGCACTCGATTATGCTAAAATAGAGCATTTTGATCATAAATATGTCAAAATTAAAATTTTAGAGGATCTGTTACTTGTTTCTGATCCTAAGCTTTTTGATTTCTCTGATTTAGACGATGATGCGCNAGCATCTGACATGGTTACAACTGCATTTGACAGGGAGTTAACAGCTACTGAACGATCTAAGGTATTGTCTAATGAACAATACCTATCAGATGAGTATATGTCTGATGAAAATTAAAATTTTTAATTACTGTTCACCTTATTAAGCATATAACGTTTATGTCTATGTTTTATTTACTTTAATCATCATTGTTGTTTTATGAGTTTATTCAGTGTGTTGTCATATGTCAACTTTTTTATTGTCACATCTTGTACTTGTCAATGTATGCAGTGTGTTGTCACTTTAATCAATCTATGCAGTGTGTAGTCAATCTATGCATTATGTTGTCAATTTATGCAGTGTGTTGTCATATATATACTATNAAATTTATGTATTTTTAAAATATAAAAATTTATTTATTAATTAATTTTTTTAAAAATTAACATTTAACATTTTTTTCAGGAAAAAAAATACACAAAACCTATCACTAAAGACTAAATTAAAATTCAAGGGCAGTTATGATAATTATCTAAACACAGATTAATTTATTCAAGCATTACATATTTGGTGTGCTTGGTTTTGTCGGTAGAGTTTGATATGCTAAAAAAATATAAGTATTTTAAAATTATCAAAATTTATTTATTGAATGTAATTAAATTTTTAATAAATAAAAATTTAATTACTCATCCTCTCAAAAAAAGAGGGAGCAAAATATTTTTAGGTATTATTCAGGAAAAAATGTCAGTAGGACAAAAAGAAATTTATGTGTTTTTAAAATATCAAAAAAAAANGGGAGCAAAATATTTTTAGGTATTATTCAGGAAAAAATGTCACTAAGACAAAAAGAAATTTATGTATTTTTAAAATATCAAAAAAAATTTATTAATTAATTTTTTTATTAAATAAACATTTAACATTATTTTATGTGTAGGTGGTACAACATAAAATAATTGAGTGGTTTGATTATTATATATGTATTATTTTATTTATTTATTGAGGCAATGGTGTTTGGTCTTTTGTCGGTGTAGACAGGGCTTTAATTGAGCGCAATACAATAAATTTTTTTTTTTAGTACCGCACATAGGCCTGTTAACGAATCAAATTTAGATAAAATTCTGATTGATCTGAATTCGAATTCAATTTCAAAAGTTTGATTTGAATCTGATAATCCGATAAATTTTATTTTCGTGGTCCATATTCAAATCTATTAACAATCCAAATTTTGATCTCTTCCGAATAACTTAATTAACTAAAATTTTTAAAATAATTATTTAATTTTTAAAAAATTTATATGAAAATATATAAATAATTTGGATCGAATCGAATCATAATCGGATTTGATATAATTAAATTATAATTCGAATCCGTGAAAATATAAGATATCAAATTCGAATTCAAATTATTAATAAAAAATATTAATTGATATCCAATTAATCACATTTGAATCAAAATTTGATCTATTGTTACCGCATAGAAGATAATGTTGCATGCACGATTTGGTCAAAGTAAGTGCAATGTGGTTTTGGATTTTGTTTAAATATTGAAAGAATATTCAAAGCATGATAGCTTGACTTGGCGGCCTTTCCAAGTATAAGTATACTTATCCTCAAAATTCTTGTATATTAGTGAGAGTGGCATTGTTATTTTTTCAAAAATGTCCAACGACGTCAGTCGGTTTGACATCTATTATAAAAACGTTAAATCGAATAACGTTTTTTAGCTGGTGGGCTAAGTTACAGTATTGGGTTAAAAAAGGTCAAATGGACTGACGTTTTTAGGATAAAGACGTCAGTCCATTTGACATATTTATCCTAAAAATGTCAATTCGTTTGACTTTTTTAAAAAGTGTCTGTATTTGAGAATTATTTTCAAAATCACTCTTATTTGGAACCTTTTTTTTTAAAAGTCCATGGGATGGGTCAAAAGTTCAATGATGGGAGTTAGAGCTTGGGAAGAGGGGTTAAGTCAGTTTGGACTTTGGCGATTCTTTGTTTGAGGGGGATGGGAACAAGTTTTTTACTATTTTGGGAGAATTATATCTAAACTACTTGAGGTTTATCACTTAATCAATTAAACTCTTTGATATTTAAAATATTACATACAAACTTCATAAAATTTGTACACACGTATCACTTAGACCCCTGCTGTCAATGTCCGTTAAAAAATTACACTCAGATCTTCTGAAATTTATAGGTGTATAATACTTAGACTTTTAAGTTTAAAATGCTATATTTAAATCTAAAATAATCTAATTAAATATCAAAAAATCTAAGTAATTAAGTGACAAACTTTATAAAGTCTGGATGTAATAATTTCTACTGTTTTAGTATAGATAGAGAGAATATGACTTTAAAGAATTATTTATGGGTAATTTAGGAATTTAAAAGTTTTTTATATAGCTTCTTTTTATTAATAATATATATAAATGGGTTAATTACCTCAATGATTATTAAGTTATGAGTAATGTTATTAGAAGTTAAAAAATTAATTTAATTTATTGACTTAGCAATGAGACAGTGATATGGTCTAATATTAGTTTTATGTCTGTAACTGTTGAACTTTTTTATTGATATTTTATCACTTGACAAATAATTATATCAATAAAATATGACAACTTCTTACGTCTCTATAACATTAATCTTAATTATATATCCTTAGGTAATTAGGTATGAATTGAAGTCAAGTCTTAATACGACTCTCTTCTCTCTTATTCTTTAGGGTTGGCTGAGATCTAGTCTCAACACTAGCATAGGGGCGTCTTTCCTCTTTCGTCGTGGAAGTAACCAGACTATCATATAGCACATCCTAAAAGCAATGGCTTTCCTCATTTAGTCGGCATTTATGTTACGTTTGGCCTTACAAATAAGGAATGCTGCTATTACCCAAAAAAAGAAACAAGTCGGGGGTGGGGGGCGGTGCTAGCCTGCTAGGTGGGGAATATGTCTCCACCCTCAATTTTTTTTTATTAATATTACCTATATAAATTTAAAATATTTATTGAATATAGTTAAGTATGCCCATCTTATTATACTTTATTATACCAATTACCACAGTAATAATGTTAGACTGACCAAATTTAAAGTCTAAATGAGATGACAGTTGACTTGAGTTTCTTTGATTGATGTCATGTAATTTGAACTCCAATAAAAACTTCAAATAATCAACTGACATATCATTTGGGTTTTAAATTTGATCCTAAAATTTGATAAGTATAATATTACTCTTAACACAGAATCAAAAGTAAACTGTAATAACTTTTGGCCATACATCTGACATGTTACATACATTCCTAGATAAGATTTAAACATATTGGAGTCATTTTGTAATTTTTTAAAAATTTATATGATTAATTTGTTCTTGTATAAATATAATTAAATGGATATGAAATTTAGGGTCATAACTTATAATTTCAAATCGAATTGAAGTTAAAAAAAATATAAATATAAATATGTTTATCTAATGATATTAATTTAATATGATCCAAAACGAACCGCTACTTAAGAAAGAGATATTATGAGGGAGGAGTGTTTCTTTGTTAGTTTAAATGACGAATTTTAGTTTTTGGTCATTTTGTATCTATTGAATTTTTTAGTATCAAAAAAAAAATGTAATAAAATATATCAGGGAAATGTATCATTTAGAAAAATTAAAACTTAAAGGGCCTACCCCTATACAACTTTGACATTTATATTTAAAAAGGGTTTCGAATATGTTTACCATTATGGGTATAGTTCAACTACAGACGTTTGACATTAAGAATGAAGATAACACGTGACTTTTCAAGCTAAAAGGAGTCGGAAAGGGAAGGGTATTGGCAGCCTCAAGAAGATCCTTTCACCCATGATGGATTCAGCTGGTGCAAGCAGCAAAAGAAGCGATGAGAAGTCATTGGAATCGGGAGGCCACAACCACAAAAATCACTTCTTTCATCTGGTTTTAAGGATTAGCTTGCTATTCCTAGCGGTTGTTCCAGCATGTCTGGTTCTTTATCACTCTCTCAATTCTTTCCAATTCTTCCCCAACTCCTTGTACAACCCATCAGCCTCTTCTCAAGACTCTGCTCGTGGAATCATATCTTCTCTGGTAAGTCAATTACTTGTCATTTCTTTTATGGGTTATACTTGTACTTGGGTGATAGCAGATGTTTTTACTTCAGGATTAGAGAGATTTCTCCATGACAGGAAATTACAGTTTGCATGATTTAGCAGGAAGATCTGTTACATTTCCTTTTGAGGTTCACTGTGGACTCAAAATTTGCACTATAATCAGAGAGGCAGATGTTTGATACATCTTGGAAACTCATATTTGCTCCTGATCTCTTGTAACGAACAGAATTGTCATTATAGTTAGAGGCTTAGAGCTCCCCACTTGTCATTGGTCATCTAGGTGTCATAGCCACATTTTATGGTCGAAACAAAATATTAACTGGCGGCCATGTTGGAGATGAATTCTAAACAACAAATTTGGGTTAATCACATTCTATCCCTAACGTGGTTTGGTTTTGTAGCAATTATTGGATTAATTGTAACTTCAATTGTTAGATAGAGTCCCACCTTTAATTCCATGTCTATATTGTATTAGGTCCCCATACAACTCCACCTCACCTACGTACCTCCTTCCCTGCCCTGTCGCAACCAAACCATAGCCAATCACCACCTCTATGGTCGTCCATAACCACAACCATCTCTATCCTAATGGCTGCCAGGCTCCGCCACCCATCAAGTTGCTTCAGCATTGAGGAACGGCCATTGACAGATAATAGAATAGAAAGTAGGAAGGAGAATAAAATGATTAAGGGACTTTTACTGACTTTGTCACTGATTTTCTACGTGATCTTAACCCTCATGGTTGGCAGACTTTTGTTTAATTATTATCTAAGGACAACCGGAGGATGCCGTATTCGTTTCTAAATCTACTAATTATGTTATGGTTGACGAAATATAATAAGCTACCGATTGGTCATATTTTTTATATTAAGATATAATAAAAACTATCTATCTGAATCAGTCAACAAGAAAATGCATTCATATATGTCTACATATATAGCAGGAGAATATTAGGGTACAACCAAATTTTACAATTTTTTTGGGTTGAAAAAAAAGTTTACCAAAAAAAAAAAATACAACTTTTTGGATCATGTTATAACTTTTAATGTTCAAGTTATAATTTTTTTTTAGTCAATTGACAATTTTTGTGGGAAACATGAGACCGATACTAAAATTATTAGAATTACGATGGATCACAACAATTTTAGAATCGATCCAAAGTTGCTACAAAAGTTGTAAATGTCTCCCCAAAATTAAAAAAAAAAATCATAAAATTTGTAATGGCAATATGGTTACCGATTTTTTTTCCCTGATACCGTAGTCTTCTCCTACTATTATACGTGCTATTAGGCTTAAAGAACAAGAATTTTGAAAGTTTACAAAAGGAAAAAAAATAAAATGTAAATGTATAAAAATAAACGCTGCTTATAAAAATATTTTAAAATTTTAAAAAATTAAAAAAAAAATGTTTCCGTATGGTGCCAAAGCTAAACAGAATAGGGAATTCTAACTTTGAAAAGAACTCTCTTAATGTCTATCTCTTTACTTGTTTNGTGACTTTTCAAGCTAAAAGGAGTCGGAAAGGGAAGGGTATTGGCAGCCTCAAGAAGATCCTTTCACCCATGATGGATTCAGCTGGTGCAAGCAGCAAAAGAAGCGATGAGAAGTCATTGGAATCGGGAGGCCACAACCACAAAAATCACTTCTTTCATCTGGTTTTAAGGATTAGCTTGCTATTCCTAGCGGTTGTTCCAGCATGTCTGGTTCTTTATCACTCTCTCAATTCTTTCCAATTCTTCCCCAACTCCTTGTACAACCCATCAGCCTCTTCTCAAGACTCTGCTCGTGGAATCATATCTTCTCTGGTAAGTCAATTACTTGTCATTTCTTTTATGGGTTATACTTGTACTTGGGTGATAGCAGATGTTTTTACTTCAGGATTAGAGAGATTTCTCCATGACAGGAAATTACAGTTTGCATGATTTAGCAGGAAGATCTGTTACATTTCCTTTTGAGGTTCACTGTGGACTCAAAATTTGCACTATAATCAGAGAGGCAGATGTTTGATACATCTTGGAAACTCATATTTGCTCCTGATCTCTTGTAACGAACAGAATTGTCATTATAGTTAGAGGCTTAGAGCTCCCCACTTGTCATTGGTCATCTAGGTGTCATAGCCACATTTTATGGTCGAAACAAAATATTAACTGGCGGCCATGTTGGAGATGAATTCTAAACAACAAATTTGGGTTAATCACATTCTATCCCTAACGTGGTTTGGTTTTGTAGCACTTACTGGATTAATTGTAACTTCAATTGTTAGATAGAGTCCCACCTTTAATTCCATGTCTATATTGTATTAGGTCCCCATACAACTCCACCTCACCTACGTACCTCCTTCCCTGCCCTGTCGCAACCAAACCATAGCCAATCACCACCTCTATGGTCGTCCATAACCACAACCATCTCTATCCTAATGGCTGCCAGGCTCCGCCACCCATCAAGTTGCTTCAGCATTGAGGAACGGCCATTGACAGATAATAGAATAGAAAGTAGGAAGGAGAATAAAATGATTAAGGGACTTTTACTGACTTTGTCACTGATTTTCTACGTGATCTTAACCCTCATGGTTGGCAGACTTTTGTTTAATTATTATCTAAGGACAACCGGAGGATGCCGTATTCGTTTCTAAATCTACTAATTATGTTATGGTTGACGAAATATAATAAGCTACCGATTGGTCATATTTTTTATATTAAGATATAATAAAAACTATCTATCTGAATCAGTCAACAAGAAAATGCATTCATATATGTCTACATATATAGCAGGAGAATATTAGGGTACAACCAAATTTTACAATTTTTTTGGGTTGAAAAAAAAGTTTACCAAAAAAAAAAAATACAACTTTTTGGATCATGTTATAACTTTTAATGTTCAAGTTATAATTTTTTTTTAGTCAATTGACAATTTTTGTGGGAAACATGAGACCGATACTAAAATTATTAGAATTACGATGGATCACAACAATTTTAGAATCGATCCAAAGTTGCTACAAAAGTTGTAAATGTCTCCCCAAAATTAAAAAAAAAAATCATAAAATTTGTAATGGCAATATGGTTACCGATTTTTTTTCCCTGATACCGTAGTCTTCTCCTACTATTATACGTGCTATTAGGCTTAAAGAACAAGAATTTTGAAAGTTTACAAAAGGAAAAAAAATAAAATGTAAATGTATAAAAATAAACGCTGCTTATAAAAATATTTTAAAATTTTAAAAAATTAAAAAAAAAATGTTTCCGTATGGTGCCAAAGCTAAACAGAATAGGGAATTCTAACTTTGAAAAGAACTCTCTTAATGTCTATCTCTTTACTTGTTTTGTTGCTTGTCCAACTTTTCTCACACTCTAAGGCCAAGGATGATCCTGCGTTAGTGAGAGTCTTGAAAGAAGCAGCAATGACAGACAAAACAGTCATTATAACTACACTAAATGAAGCCTGGGCCGCGCCAAATTCAATATTTGAACTCTTTATTAGGAGTTTCGGAATAGGGAATCAAACTCAAGGGCTCTTGAATCATTTGCTAGTTGTTGCTTTGGACCAAACGGCATATGCTCGTTGCTTAGCATTGCACAAGTATTGTTATACTCTCAACACTCCAGACATCGACTTTTCAAGCGAAGCACATTTCATGTCCACTGACTACTTAAAGATGATGTGGAGAAGGATCGATTTTCTTCGTAGCGTTCTTGATATTGGATACAACTTCATCTTTACGGTACCATCTAAATTTTCAACTCCGCAAATGCTTATCATATGATTATTTGGTTTGGTTTTAACGGTTTTATCATCAGTATCAGTTTAGTGTTACTGTATTACCTAATAATAAACATATAAACAAATATCATATAAAATATGATATTAAATGAAACGTGATTGATTGTAATATCAATAATTACATAAGTATCCCTAACATCTAAGTTATGAATTCATATAGGGGTATATTTTTCTTTTTCACCTTATACGTTCATTAATCTATAATTTAAATGGTATAAAGACAATGAACAACACCCTATTCAAACCTTGACGCAAACATGGTCTAATAGATATAAGGTAAAATGGTAACCACTTATTACCACCCGTATAGATTTGGTTAAAATCAATTCACTGCAAAAGAAAAAGGGTTTTACGGCGATAAAATGCTGTCATAAAAAGTCTATTTGCAGTCACAAATATTTTTTGTGACAGTATTGTGGCAGTATTGCCTCGCCATAATAAGTGTGATTTCAAAAAAATTTTACGACAGCAATGGTCTGTCTCAAATAGTATTTATGGCCGCAAGACCCCGTCGTAAATAAGTTATCACAAAAAATCCGACACTTTTGTTTTTATCACGGCGGCAAAAGTGTTGCCTCAATTATCATATTTGGATGTCGTAAAAAATAAAAGATATATTTATGACGGCAACGATGCTGCCACAAAAAAAACAAATTTTTTTTTTAATTATTATGAACCATTGATAACTCATGTTATGTACCCTATGCATATAGGGAGGGAGAAGGGGGAAGAAGGTTTGAATCCTTAAGCTTTTACAATGTAAAGAATATCATTAGACCAATGTCCCATTAATATCCATACAACTACCCAATTTAATATATAGATAAACACAAAAATAAATATAATCAAAATTTTCAAAAACATAGCAATATTTTCATATTAAAAAAAAATAATTCCCGGAGTTAAACAAAATGTAAAATATGCATTTTTATAAAACATGACGATCTATGAGTACAAGAAATTAATTCAAAACAGTTGAACATCATTCCCGAACCATTTACTCTCTTAGTGACATCTGAAAAAAATATAAAATTATTGGTATTATACTGTAATAATATTTATATACATAAATACAATAAAGAACTAAAAGAAGTTAAAATATACATCAACAGAAGCCACATAATATTTCTTTGAATGGTTTGCCCAATTATGTAAATGGTATATAAACGAGTCATATTGTATATATTTCTTCTAATTGGTTTCACCAATATTTGATTCATTTATAATCGTATCGTGACGGATCCACTCGTTTATTAAACAGGTGGCTTAAAGAATATTCAAATTCACTAATTTTATGTCGTGTTAACGAGTCGTGTCATATTTTGACACCCGTAGTTTTGATATAAAAACTTGACTTTATAGAGTTTAATTTTTTTTTCTTTGAACTAAAAATTGTCTTTTGATATTAAACTAAGTAATTTTATAAAATATTACTTGTAACATGAAAAATAGTTGTGGCCAATACAAATTTTTTTTAGAATTTTTTTTCTTTAAACTATAAATTGTTTTTAATCTAAAACAACATTTTAATGTTTTATGAAATATAATATACAACAAAAAAAATAGCTGCCATAAATATAAAAAAAAAATTGAATTTATAAAATATTATTTGAGACAGGAAAAACAGCTGTCTCAAAAATAAAAATTTCTTTTGAGTTTATGATACTATTTTCGATAGAAAAAATAGCTACCACAAATATTAACACAAACACGTTTTTTGTGACGGCAAACACTACCGTCAAAAAAAATTGTCTCAAATATATTTTTTGTGACGGCAAACACAACTATCATAAAAAATTTGTCACGACCTTTATTCTTGTAGTGATTATTGGCTCCTACCCCATGTTGTACACAAACCAAATTGCATAATTTACTATCATTATTCTTTCTAGACCTGATGGTCTACGAAACAATTACATTTCATGAGTGAAGACCATTGAATGAAATTAAATAGAGAGCTATGGGTATAGGAAAAAAAATGTCATTATGGACATTTGAGAAGTGAACAACAAACTTAGTCCTATCCTTTTATTAATAATATAGATTTATGAAACTCTATCTGAATGACCTTAAGCAACAAACTCTTGTTGACTCTCTTTCCTACAGGATAATGATATAATGTGGCTTCGAGATCCATTTCCACGTTTTTACCCGGATGCTGATTTCCAGATTGCATGCGATCATTTTTATGGCGACTCGTTTGACTTGAACAACTGGCCCAATGGAGGATTTAACTATGTAAAATCNAAAAAAAAAAAATGAACCTGAGTTTAATTAAGAGATGGGCTTGCCTATAATACAATGTATATGCCCCTTTTCTAGTTAGCTAGAGTTATTGGCAATGGACCAAATTAATAAAAATCACTGATACCTTCCTAGCTATGTGCAGCTGAGCAATGATATATGCACCTAATTTGGAAAATTGGGGATCTAATTTAATACAATTATTAGATCAGTTGTGAGTTTCAAAGTTAAACGAAATTCATCTTCAATCCAATAACTGCATTCAATTAGTTCTCCAAATTAAGTTCAAATAGCATTTTTCATGTGAGTTATATGATAACACACATTGGCAGATTTAGGGTGAGACCAGTAGGGCAACTATCCCCATTCCAATTTTGAAACTTTTGGACTTCAGAAAATAAAAAATAAAAAATTTTAAAATTATTTAGAATTTTCCCCCATTAAAAAATTAGCCAAAAAAATAGAGGCAAATTTGTACATCTATATAATAAAATAACTCACAAGTTGAATTTTATCCCCTACACATTTTTCCCCCTCTCCCTAAAATATCACATCACTCATTTCTATCACATGCCTAATTTTCATAGTTTAATAGTTTAATATAATTTTTATTTCAAATATTATCCGCACACGATAATAAACATTTGTCGAATTACGTATTTAGAAAAAAAAATTGTCGAAGTACGTATTTTGAAAAAAATTTAACAATATTTTTAAGAAAATAATGGATAAATATAGATTTTAACTGATATAATCAAAAAAAAAGAAAAAAAGAAAAATTATTATTTAATATAATAGGATAGATTTTTTGGGTGCTCGAATTTTATGTTTCATCGTCCCTTCAAGCACGGTTATGACTAGTATATAGATATACCAAAATTGAAATTGTTTATAATCCAATATAGTGTATATATACATTAGTAATAACCCTATGTCTAAAGACACCATGTAATACAAAAATCAAGCATTGATAGTGCAAAGTTTATATTTTAAAAAGTAATTTATTTTTTTAATTATGTAATTTAAAATTAAAATGAATTGAGAAAAAATAAGAGATGAGTAAGGGAGAAAGAAAAGAGAAGTATGTGTGGATCAATGAGGTTGTTTGACATAAGGGGATTATGTTAGAGAAAAAAGACAAGTATGTGTGGATCAGTAAAGTTGTTTGATATTGGGGATTGTGTTAGTTCAATTGTCTAAAATTCAGGTTTGTGTAGCGAAAATGATGTTTTTGAGTAAAAAAAAATTATAATAATTTTCGTACTATTGGATCAAAATAAATAAAAATTAAAATAATCTTCAACGTTATTATACTTTCATAAGTTGAAAAATTATTTTTTTAGTTGTAATATTAGATAAATGCATGCACACATATAAAAAATTTTGAGTACAATGTATACAAACATAGACGAGAGAATGACCACAAAAATTGGAAGAATTGAATGAAGAGAGAAAAGAGAAGAGAGAGAAATTGAATGAAAGGATAGGAGAGAGAGACAGAATAATGGGTGAAAGAGAGACAAACGAGATAATAAAGATAAGAGTATTCTTATTATTAAAAGTATACAAACTTACAATTGCGTACTATATATTTATATAATAAAGTAGAACGAATTTAAATTTTGAAAACAAAGAGTGGTTGATCGTTTCGCCACCAAAAAAAGACATCAACTAACGGATGACGTTATCCTAAACTGTCTTTAGCTATTGACGTCTCAAATCGTTTTGATCCGACGTACCACATTTATCGTAATCAATTAAAAAATTTACTTTCCGAAATTGATTGTCTAAAACTTTAAGTTTCATTAACTACTAAGTTTCGGTCTCTCCCTCTCTCTTTCTCTCTTCGAAATTCATTGCCTAATTTATTTCTCAATTTTTTCCTTGCCTAATAGCTCAAGATCCAAAATTCATTGCCTAAAAAAGACATCATCTCAAAAATAGAAAAAAAAAACAATAGAACAACCAAAAAAGATGTAATATCAAAAACTAACTCAACAATACCATATCCAGATTCGTACAATATCTACGCATGAAAATAATCACACGTATTGCGTATATCTAAAAAAAGGGAAAAGAACTTCAAAGCAAAATATTCACACGTATTAAAGCTTATACAAATACAAAATAACCCCTTATTCATCCATATATTTAACAAATAAATACACAAATTTATATAATAAAATAGAAAGATTTTAAATTTTGGAGACAAAAAATGGATTAGATCATTTCCTGACAAAAAAAAATCATCCAACGGACGACGCTATCTTAAACTGTCTCAAGCTATTGACGTCTCATATCATTTCGATACAACGTACCAAAATAACTATTAAAAAATTTTAGTTTCCAAAATTAACATTTCTACATTGAATTCGCCTGTCAATCTTGTCCAAAATCAATGACATCTAAATCTAAAATTTTGTCTAAATCAAAAATTCTAAAATTAACGTCCATATTTAAAATTTGACCCCGCTCATGCTGCTCTAAATAATGCCATTTCCATGTCAGAGAAATTACTTTTCCACATCACAATTTGAGAATATTCAATATAATGATGATACTATATTATTTACTCTACTTTCCTTTATCACCTGCATCCATCTCGATCTTTTCAATTTAATGTTTTGTGCACAGTCATAAATTTTGCAAGTTGTACACTATTTTTGCAGTATATTAAAATTCAACTTGATTTGTTGTCATTATGTCTTATAATTCATTTGATTTGTTGCCAATTTTATACATTATTTTGCTTGATGGCATGTTATCTCTCCACGAATATGTTTAAGTATGATATATGAAAAACATCTTTACTTGATCAAGTTTGCAGATCTTCATATTTTGGTAGAGTCTTATTTTTAGAGAGAATTTAGCCGTAATTGTTTGGAAGAATTGAAAAAAATATTATATTTAGAGGCATACACATTCTCTAAACTATTAATATACTATGAGTGTAATTTAACCCGATAGAGTGTTAAAAATTTAGTTTTAACTGATTTAGGTTTTGTTGATGTTGTTTATTATATTGTTTTGTTGCAATTCATCTCTTAATCTCCCCTTCCTTGGTTTCTATCTAATATTTATTTGATTATGTTCATACCATAAAAAGTTTTGAATTTACTATCATTTGGATATCAGTCAATAATTAAACGGTCATTGAACAATATTTGGGATTATTTTGATTTATATTTTACCAATTTTTTTTTTAAAAAAATAATAGGCTCACATTATATTTATCAATGTTTTTCTAGTTGACAATTTTTTATGGCATACAATCTTTTAATACACATGTATTTAATTACAATTTTTTTTTGTTGCGTTGTGCCTTCAGACACGGACAATTGCTTGTATCTCATATATTGTAATTATATGTCCTTAATGACTTAAAAAAATTGTTCTTTTACTTATTGTCAAAAAAATTGATATATTGTATTGATTTCCAATTTTTACTATAATGATTATACTACACAATTCATTAGGTGGTTTACACTATATAATCATCGTCACATAAAATTATTACGTTAAATGTGTAAGTGAATTGTAGACAATTCGATAAGTACTTCTATATAATATAATAATTAGAAAAATATATATTTTATATTTTATTTATTTACTTATTTTTATTAAATAATAATATCAGGTAAAAATAATAACACAATTTACATGGAATATTTACTCGTTATACCTAAATATCGTTTGCATTATGTCAAATGATACTTACAACCCTTCTAATTGATATAACAGGTTTCAAATCACCCCTTGTACTGATGTGTCGTTAATGACAACGATTCTATCCTTTAACATTAATTTCAATATTATTATTTGGATATAATTTATTAATCTAATTATTTATAATTATAATTATTGTATCGACAGGAAAAAGAGTAATGGTAGCAAATAGCATTCCTCAAGTATCAAAAAAAACAATAGCATTCCTCAAGTAAAAAACTTACAGTCTGATGGTAAAAAATGCCAAGCAAAAGGGTAGGGTTTTACGGAAGAAGTGAAGAACCAAAGACAGAACGGCACTTCCAACCTTAAGAAGAGGAAGAGGGAAATAGAGAGTGATGGATTCGTTTTCGGCCCCTTCCAGTGCACCATCTTCGCAGCTGTCGCCGGACAATTTCATGGACCAGCTCAAGACCCAGCTTGCCCAGGCTTATGCCGAGGAGTTNTTTTTTTTTTTTGCGTTGTGCCTTCAGACACGGACAATTGCTTGTATCTCATATATTGTAATTATATGTCCTTAATGACTTAAAAAAATTGTTCTTTTACTTATTGTCAAAAAAATTGATATATTGTAATGATTTCCAATTTTTACTATAATGATTATACTATACAATTCATTAGGTGGTTTACACTATATAATCATCGTCACATAAAATTATTACGTTAAATGTGTAAGTGAATTGTAGACAATTCGATAAGTACTTCTATATAATATAATAATTAGAAAAATATATATTTTATATTTTATTTATTTACTTATTTTTATTAAATAATAATATCAGGTAAAAATAATAACACAATTTACATGGAATATTTACTCGTTATACCTAAATATCGTTTGCATTATGTCAAATGATACTTACAACCCTTCTAATTGATAAAACAGGTTTCAAATCACCCCTTGTACTGATGTGTCGTTAATGACAACGATTCTATCCTTTAACATTAATTTCAATATTATTATTTGGATATAATACAGTCTGATGGTAAAAAATGCCAAGCAAAAGGGTAGGGTTTTACGGAAGAAGTGAAGAACCAAAGACAGAACGGCACTTCCAACCTTAAGAAGAGGAAGAGGGACATAGAGAGTGATGGATTCGTTTTCGGCCCCTTCCAGTGCACCATCTTCGCAGCTATCGCCGGACAATTTCATGGACCAGCTCAAGACCCAGCTTGCCCAGGCTTATGCCGAGGAGTTCCTTGAAGTAACTCTTTATCTCTCTCTCTCTGCACACTTTTCCTTACATTCTAAGTATATGTATCAGAGTTTTAGTAATTTGTCCTCTGTTTTTTTTATTATTATTATTTATTTTTATCTTGTAGCCGACCTCAAATTTTTGATTGGGACATAAGGCTTTGGTTCGATCTATAAAATGATTTCACATAGGCAATGAAACTGTTTGTTATAGCATATACATTTGTTTTAAACGAGTGGTGAACTCTTCCCACTAATTGATTGTTTGCCGCTTCGATTACAGTGTTGTCATGAACAAGCTTGCGTTTTTCTTTTTTTTTTTTTTTTTGGTTTACTTTGATATTTCTTTTGAGAGCATAGACTGTTGCCTTTTGATCAATCGATAACCCTTGTCAACTTCTATTCTTCCTATTCTCATTCCTTCTAGTTCTCTGCTATTTTTGTTTTCACAGACAATTAAGGTCTTTTAATCGCATATTCAATAGGACAATCAGCATAAAATGTTATCGGATCCACCATGATGAGTCCAAATAGGACAATCAAAACCATTTGTACAATGCAGCTATATATTGAGATTCATATCAGGTACCTGCCATAACTCTAGATGTGTTAGTCCGCTGTTTTCAAGCATTTAATTAGATGCTTGGAAAATTATTTGGAGGTCCATGATAGAGGTAGTCACAACTAGTACTTATATAAATGATGCTGAGCTCGTTTGTCTATAGAATTTTGTTGTAACTGTTTTCCATATACTTTTTTTTCATCGAAATACACGTGTTAGAATCAATTGAAATTCTAATATTCCTTTCTCTGCACATCAATTTTTTGTTCCTTTTTTAGAGACTAGGAAATTTGATGAAGAAAATTATGCAAAAAGAGTACGCTGCACTGTAGGATATATAACTCTCGTCAATTCATTTCTTTTTATTTATTTAATTACGGTAGTAGAGAAACTGGATGTGCATTTCCCTTTGTTGTGCCACTCCACCATGTGTAACCCCAAGTAGTTGCATAGACTTTTGGCCAAGGCATTTGATGTAGGAGTTCAGACACTAAGCATTATTGTCTTGGTTGATTCATTTGTCTTTTGCCCATAGCCTTCGTTAGTGAATGCTTCAACTTAGGTCCTTATAGGATAACATGTGCTCTTGGTAAAGATGAAGGATTGAACTCACTGGGTACAATATATGAATAGGAGTTCACATGAGGTAGATCCACTTTTAGAGATAGTGGATGCTTTTTGTCTTGCCATGCCTCCAGGTATGAAATCCTCAACTTGTTGCATAGAGTTTCATTTGATATAGAAGTTCAGAAACTAAACAGAGTTGCCTTGCTTGATTCGTTTGTCTTTTGCCCATAACTGTTTTTACTTTTTATTGATTCGTAAAACTTTGCGCATGTGTTTAGTTGCATAGTTCCCCTTACAGTATAACATGTGCTCTTGGTGAAGATGAATGCTTTTGGACTGAACTTATGTGTACAATTGCTGAATAAATCCACTCTTGTATTATACGTGATATATGTAGCTTGGTGGTTAGGAATGGTCTTTGGTTTATGAACATCCACTCAGCTGCAAATTTCTTCCAAGCAATTAGTGGAGTTCAATATGCTAGTATGCCCGTCTATTAGATCTAATCCATGCGTATTTTTAGAGTTCAAACAAAATAAAAAATCAGTACTTTCAATCTATTTCATTAGAATAGTACTATTTTGATTGTTGTGCCTTGATGGATTAATGCCATCAATTCTACGCTAGTACCTAGTTTCCCCATATAAGCTATCAAAAAGTCTGTTGGAGAGTGACTCTAAGGTGTCTTGTATTCCTGCTTTGACGATTTGGAAATCTAATGTACCTTTAAAGGTGCAAGTTTTTGCATGGACAAAATCTCAAGGTAAGATTAACACTAATGCCGTGCTTTAGAGGAGGAAGCCTCATACTTGTCTTCCCCCTCAGTGGAGTGTGGCGTGTAAAAAGGATTGTGAGAGCATTGACCATCTATTCTTACATTGCCCTGGTGCTTTGAAGTTATGGTATCAATTGTATCGAGAGGTGGGATTAATTCGGTGTTCCCTGCAATATCTTCTTCTTTGTAGAAGCTAAATATTTTAAACGAGAATAAGAAACATGACCAAGAGAAGAATTCATAAATAAAACTAGAAGACTATGGACTCAAATGAAAAGAAGACAAATTAACTATAGAAGTAGCAATATCTCGAACATAGTTGTTAGTATTATACGATATGTGATACGTTTCGTACGATACGGAGATAAAATGATACGGATCGTAGTTATGTATCGTTTTTGTGTTGTATCGTCTGATACACGATACATTTTTACGATACGTGCAAAATTTGTTTATTTATTTTAACAGCTTGATTCACAGATTCGCACCAAATCATTGACAACAAAAACAGAGATGAAGACACCCAAGCCCACAAATCAAAGAGTAGAGAAAATGCCAAAGAAAAGGCAGCAGAGATGAGGAAGACAAGAATTACCGGTCTACACAACCTACAAATCAGCAAAAACACCCAACCAAAAGTAAATCAAATAAATTTTTGAAATTGAAAAAAATAGCAAAACTAACCTGTAAATTTTGAATAAAATCCTAAGTTGGTTTTTCTTCATTTAGAAAACACCACTTCTTCTTCCTCGCAGAGATCCATTTCAAGAAACCTTAGAAAACACTCTGGCTCACGATCGCTCTGGCTCATGATACCTTTCTCTCTCGCGATCTCTCTCTCTGCCTCTCAATCATTCTCATGATCGCTTTGTCTCTCTGCCTCTTGATCGCTTTCACGATCGTTCCCTCTCTCTCGTCTTTTTTTTTTTTTTTTCTGATCAAGCACTCTCTCACTCGTCACTATGTTTTAAAATAGGGATAATTACATTTAGACCCCTTAAAGTTTGTTACTTAATCACTTAAACTCCTAACATTTAAAATATTACACATAGACCTCTTAAAATTTATATATCCATTAATAAATTACATCTAGACACCCTAAAGTTTGTAAACATATATTTTATTATTAATTATTTAAAATTGCACCGTATCTTATGATAAACGATACGATACGATACACTATTTTTAAAAAACGATACACCTTCCGATGCACGATTTGATAACTATGATCTCGAACATATAACTTGTCCAACACATACAACCCTCTTTAACTATAAAAGAAAAAAAATGAACTGGAAATCCAGAGTCAAATAGCTGACTAACTAAAATCAAATTTAAGCGAAGTTGAGGAATATAATAAAAATTGGCAAGTGTTAGTTTCGGATAAATAATAGACCCAACGCCCACCAAGGACATTTGAGTATCATTGGTTGCGCACACAAGTACACATAGAAGAGAAAAAGTAGATGTAAATAAAGAAGATTCACTAGTCGTGATGTGTAGCACCGGAGTTAAAGACTCGGGCAGTTCGAGGTATACCTATAGGACCCGAAATGAACAAACCTACAAAATGAGAGACTGAGAAAGGACTAGAATTCTGTAATAAGAGAAAACTGGCTTGAGGAGAATCAAAGTTTCCAATTGTCATATTTATAACAAGAAGAAATCCAAAACCAACAAGAAGTCCAAGACCAACTATAGTGAATTGTCAAATCAAAAAAGAAAACAATCCAAGCAGTCCACTAATCAAAAATAGCCTCCAATAGATAGCTTAAAGCAATAACAACTCAAATAGCCAATACCAAGAGCAATAGAAGAATAACCAAGTACAATTGCGATTCAACTGGAACAGTAGCACAACAATGCAAAAGCAGCAAGCTACAAGGGTAGAATCAACAAAATATCAAAGTACAAATTTAAATGACCCGTGCCAACTCAACAAAATCCAAAGGAATGCCAACAAAAGAAAACAACCCAAAGTCCAATTCAGGACCAGTAACTAGCAACCTAAACCAAGTTTATGTAGATTCAATTTACCCAAATTCAAAACTCAATCAAAGAACTAGCAATTAGCCCACAAGAATATAATAGTCCAAAGCCCAATAGTTAGCCCAACGGCCAATAAATCAACACCACCAAGTCACTACAGTTGCAAACCACAAGAATAGAAAGAAAATTGGTTGTGGTAACAACACAACCTATAGCCAAAGAGAAGAAGCGGACAACCAAGCTAAACCAAGCAGCACACAGCAAGCCAACAAGCCAAAAAGAAGAAGCAGCCAAGCCAGAAAAAAGGAAGAACCTAGAGCCCACTGGGAAGCTGAAGCAGGGACTGCCGAAGGCCAGATCTAGCCAAAACTCAACCCAAATTCACTACAACTACTTACAATCAACCAATGGAACATCAAAGGTCCAAATCTCACCCCCTAAGCACGAATTCAAGCTTCAAATTTATAGAAAACTCTCAATTTTTGGATACGTATAGTTTTTAAAACATTCGAAAAATTGAAAGACTTACCAGATGGCCAACGAAATCAAAAAAGAAGTATATCGAGTGGCATGGTGGTATTGCTGACTCCCAATTGATGACATCATCATGTACTATGATGAAGTTAGCCCTAGTTTGTTTCCAGAAATTCCTCTGTTGAGTTCTACTATTTCTTATCTATGTTTCAGGATCACAACTCGTTCTGATACCATGTAAACTTTGATCGAAGAAAGAGAGAAGAGAAAAAAAGAAAATATATTATGGCACAATTAGTCTTTGCAACATATCAGAGGTCATTATAAGTTAGGACAACATAAAATAAAATAAATAACTAAACTACCCCTAATAATAAATATACTAGACTATATAGTAGTGTAACAAAATAAAGTAAACGACTAAATTACCCATAATACTAAATATACTAGACTACTATAACAGTACTTCGTGTCATTTACATGACATTTCGTAGACATTAAATTGAGGTGATCAATGGATCAACAATGGTACTAGGGTAATAGATAATTGATATTGGAAGAGTTTCACACATTGTGCGTGATTCTCACAATTTTGTTGCTTCCGCTGTTGTTGTCCCATATGAGTTGGTGGATGGAGATTCTTTGGTGGAAGCAACAGTTTCCTATTAGAAAAGTGGAGTTGAGCAATGGAAATGGAAGTAGATGTTGGCACCAGGAACTGGATGCCATGTTAGACTTTGCGTATTATGCTGAAAGTAAAGTTCTGCTTCATTCTGGATCAGGTGTAGGGAGAGGAAAAAGAAAGGGGGTTTCAGATGTTTTGCTATGAAGGTTGTACACCAATAAGTGCATTTACAGAGTAGAGGTAGGAAACTATGTGCATGTCTTGAAATATAACTATATAAGGTGCTAAAGAAATTCACTTATGATAGACATAATAGCCCATCTAAACTCTGCCAGTTACATGATGTGCACAGTTCAATATTTAGAACTTCTCTTGCTAGTTATTCTATATGTCTAGTTATTTGAAATGAATTACTCATCTCTTTGTTTCGGTATATTGGCACACAGACTGTGAGGGGGAAGTGCTTTGACAAGTGTATCACCAAACCAGGGAGTAGTCTGAGTGGGAGTGAGAGTAGTTGCATTTCCAGGTGTGTGGATCGCTACATTGAGGCCACTGGTATCATCAGTAAGGCCCTTTTCAGTGCACCACGCTAGATATTTCAAGTAAGCACTTCTTGAAGAACACCAAAGCATTGGAATTTAAGTGAAAAAAAGGAATTCATGAGAGAGCCTAGAGATTTTGTTTTCTGTACCACTTTTCAATTTTGTTATGAGGAAAACATTCTGTTTCTCATTGAAAACTAATATGCAAACGTTAGGCNAAATAATAGACCCAACGCCCACCAAGGACATTTGAGTATCATTGGTTGCGCACACAGATACACATAGAAGAGAAAAAGTAGATGTAAATAAAGAAGATTCACTAGTCGTGATGTGTAGCACCGGAGTTAAAGACTCGGGCAGTTCGAGGTATACCTATAGGACCCGAAATGAACAAACCTACAAAATGAGAGACTGAGAAAGGACTAGAATTCTGTAATAAGAGAAAACTGGCTTGAGGAGAATCAAAGTTTCCAATTGTCATATTTATAACAAGAAGAAATCCAAAACCAACAAGAAGTCCAAGACCAACTATAGTGAATTGTCAAATCAAAAAAGAAAACAATCCAAGCAGTCCACTAATCAAAAATAGCCTCCAATAGATAGCTTAAAGCAATAACAACTCAAATAGCCAATACCAAGAGCAATAGAAGAATAACCAAGTACAATTGCGATTCAACTGGAACAGTAGCACAACAATGCAAAAGCAGCAAGCTACAAGGGTAGAATCAACAAAATATCAAAGTACAAATTTAAATGACCCGTGCCAACTCAACAAAATCCAAAGGAATGCCAACAAAAGAAAACAACCCAAAGTCCAATTCAGGACCAGTAACTAGCAACCTAAACCAAGTTTATGTAGATTCAATTTACCCAAATTCAAAACTCAATCAAAGAACTAGCAATTAGCCCACAAGAATATAATAGTCCAAAGCCCAATAGTTAGCCCAACGGCCAATAAATCAACACCACCAAGTCACTACAGTTGCAAACCACAAGAATAGAAAGAAAATTGGTTGTGGTAACAACACAACCTATAGCCAAAGAGAAGAAGCGGACAACCAAGCTAAACCAAGCAGCACACAGCAAGCCAACAAGCCAAAAAGAAGAAGCAGCCAAGCCAGAAAAAAGGAAGAACCTAGAGCCCACTGGGAAGCTGAAGCAGGGACTGCCGAAGGCCAGATCTAGCCAAAACTCAACCCAAATTCACTACAACTACTTACAATCAACCAATGGAACATCAAAGGTCCAAATCTCACCCCCTAAGCACGAATTCAAGCTTCAAATTTATAGAAAACTCTCAATTTTTGGATACGTATAGTTTTTAAAACATTCGAAAAATTGAAAGACTTACCAGATGGCCAACGAAATCAAAAAAGAAGTATATCGAGTGGCATGGTGGTATTGCTGACTCCCAATTGATGACATCATCATGTACTATGATGAAGTTAGCCCTAGTTTGTTTCCAGAAATTCCTCTGTTGAGTTCTACTATTTCTTATCTATGTTTCAGGATCACAACTCGTTCTGATACCATGTAAACTTTGATCGAAGAAAGAGAGAAGAGAAAAAAAGAAAATATATTATGGCACAATTAGTCTTTGCAACATATCAGAGGTCATTATAAGTTAGGACAACATAAAATAAAATAAATAACTAAACTACCCCTAATAATAAATATACTAGACTATATAGTAGTGTAACNAAATAAAATAAATAACTAAACTACCCCTAATAATAAATATACTAGACTATATAGTAGGGTAACACAAAATAAAGTAAACGACTAAATTACCCATAATACTAAATATACTAGACTACTATAACAGTACTTCGTGTCATTTACATGACATTTCGTAGACATTAAATTGAGGTGATCAATGGATCAACAATGGTACTAGGGTAATAGATAATTGATATTGGAAGAGTTTCACACATTGTGCGTGATTCTCACAATTTTGTTGCTTCCGCTGTTGTTGTCCCATATGAGTTGGTGGATGGAGATTCTTTGGTGGAAGCAACAGTTTCCTATTAGAAAAGTGGAGTTGAGCAATGGAAATGGAAGTAGATGTTGGCACCAGGAACTGGATGCCATGTTAGACTTTGCGTATTATGCTGAAAGTAAAGTTCTGCTTCATTCTGGATCAGGTGTAGGGAGAGGAAAAAGAAAGGGGGTTTCAGATGTTTTGCTATGAAGGTTGTACACCAATAAGTGCATTTACAGAGTAGAGGTAGGAAACTATGTGCATGTCTTGAAATATAACTATATAAGGTGCTAAAGAAATTCACTTATGATAGACATAATAGCCCATCTAAACTCTGCCAGTTACATGATGTGCACAGTTCAATATTTAGAACTTCTCTTGCTAGTTATTCTATATGTCTAGTTATTTGAAATGAATTACTCATCTCTTTGTTTCGGTATATTGGCACACAGACTGTGAGGGGGAAGTGCTTTGACAAGTGTATCACCAAACCAGGGAGTAGTCTGAGTGGGAGTGAGAGTAGTTGCATTTCCAGGTGTGTGGATCGCTACATTGAGGCCACTGGTATCATCAGTAAGGCCCTTTTCAGTGCACCACGCTAGATATTTCAAGTAAGCACTTCTTGAAGAACACCAAAGCATTGGAATTTAAGTGAAAAAAAGGAATTCATGAGAGAGCCTAGAGATTTTGTTTTCTGTACCACTTTTCAATTTTGAATTTTGTTATGAGGAAAACATTCTGTTTCTCATTGAAAACTAATATGCAAACGTAAGGTTTCAGCAATATGAACAGTAAAATTAAAATTTTAACTTAGTGACAGGTTAATTTTCTATTGTTGAATAATTCTTGCTATCTTTATTACTTTCTTCTTTCTCCTATTTCAGTGTAGTATTTTTAAGCTTTCATCGAAGAATNGTTGTTGTCCCATATGAGTTGGTGGATGGAGATTCTTTGGTGGAAGCAACAGTTTCCTATTAGAAAAGTGGAGTTGAGCAATGGAAATGGAAGTAGATGTTGGCACCAGGAACTGGATGCCATGTTAGACTTTGCGTATTATGCTGAAAGTAAAGTTCTGCTTCATTCTGGATCAGGTGTAGGGAGAGGAAAAAGAAAGGGGGTTTCAGATGTTTTGCTATGAAGGTTGTACACCAATAAGTGCATTTACAGAGTAGAGGTAGGAAACTATGTGCATGTCTTGAAATATAACTATATGAGGTGCTAAAGAAATTCACTTATGATAGACATAATAGCCCATCTAAACTCTGCCAGTTACATGATGTGCACAGTTCAATATTTAGAACTTCTCTTGCTAGTTATTCTATATGTCTAGTTATTTGAAATGAATTACTCATCTCTTTGTTTCGGTATATTGGCACACAGACTGTGAGGGGGAAGTGCTTTGACAAGTGTATCACCAAACCAGGGAGTAGTCTGAGTGGGAGTGAGAGTAGTTGCATTTCCAGGTGTGTGGATCGCTACATTGAGGCCACTGGTATCATCAGTAAGGCCCTTTTCAGTGCACCACGCTAGATATTTCAAGTAAGCACTTCTTGAAGAACACCAAAGCATTGGAATTTAAGTGAAAAAAAGGAATTCATGAGAGAGCCTAGAGATTTTGTTTTCTGTACCACTTTTCAATTTTCAATTTTGTTATGAGGAAAACATTCTGTTTCTCATTGAAAACTAATATGCAAACGTAAGGTTTCAGCAATATGAACAGTAAAATTAAAATTTTAACTTAGTGACAGGTTAATTTTCTATTGTTGAATAATTCTTGCTATCTTTATTACTTTCTTCTTTCTCCTATTTCAGTGTAGTATTTTTAAGCTTTCATCGAAGAATGATTACAATTCAATAATGGTTACGCTTACCAAATGTTGGTGAGTCTGGTGCTGGATGACTATTTATTGGATTAATTGTCCAGCTATCTGGTCAATTGGCTGAGCATAGGTTAGATTTGATCAGAAACTTCGATACAAATATGCTAAGAAAGTATACTAGATGAATAACCGCTGGCCTTGAAAGCTCCTAGCATATCAAGTAGCTAGGAATGTTGCTACCTCAATCGAGGAACAAAGCTTTCTGCTAGTATATCCTACGCTCTTTCTTCATCTTTAATTTGTATTATGCCTTTGAATTGACTATATCCATTCCACGTCAAGGCGTTTGTATTGCGCAAACAGTAGAGGGGCTGATTCAAAACCATCAAACTCTTCCTCTCATAAGGGATGCAATCTGGATTCTTATTCCCGAAGTTTTCCCCAATAGGTGTGTTTGTCATTCCAAGCCAGGGCCTTTATTCGTTAGTTCATCTTGACGCAGAAATATGACAAACCATTGTATCACATTCACAATGGTAAACTGGTGGGATGGGAGTTATGGTCTCAACTCTCAATTCCTGTCGCCATCGCCATCAATAAAAAGTATGAGAAGTCAGAGATCTCACTGCTGTCATGCAAGTTGTTTAGCTGTTGCAATGCATTTTCAAAGGCTACATTGCAATTTCAGGAGTCACACCTTCATTGCATTACGTTTTCATGTAGAAATTCAATTAGCAAAAAGTACATGAATACTTCAGCTGCAACAGACAAATAGCACATCAGTTGTATGGTTACAAATTGAGTTTGAATGCCAGCACAAAACATGCAAGCAATACAAATAACTCCTTCATTTTGCCAACAAAGGAACTTTTAATTCACAAAAAGCATCACAGTTTAATGTAGTACAAGATCAGACATGGCCTAGAATCTCGGTGCTATCTTCCATGTATCACCACAAGAACAAACAGTGAAGGAACACATCCCTTCCACCTATTTCCTCAAGGTCTGTAAGATGTACTCAGCATAAAGGTCCCTGCACCATTTTAAAAAATTGCCTTTAGACAGGTGGAAAAAAATGCTAGAAGTTCCAACTTCAAAGTAGATATATATGCATGTTGATTACCCAATTTGGTAAGAGTACAAATTTATCTACATTGCTAAAAGGTCCATGACTGATGATCGAAGCTAAGGATAGCACGAACAATCAGCTATTACTTATTAACCAACAGGCATCTCTTNATGACTGATGATCGAAGCTAAGGATAGCACGAACAATCAGCTATTACTTATTAACCAGCAGGCATCTCGACTTCCGTATTCTCCTTTACCTTGCAGCATCCTTAGGAACCATGTAGTTTCCTTTTCCGTTTCAAAATTACTGAATGATGGAAATATGAGTTTCACGTAACCTGCTGCTATTCATTTGTCAAATTTGATACTTACATCGAGTACTGGATAGCATCATGAGCAGTAGTTGGAGGCAGAAACTCGTCAACTGCAACCTCTTTGTTCTCATTCTTTTTGTCTAAATTCTTTGTCAAGAAAATTCAGCTTGCAATTTTTTGTCACCTCCAGACATTAGACTAAGAGTACCTACAGCTCATAAAACGTTGTTTCAAAGCTTAAACATGGAAATATGAAAAGGATACAGTCTTCAAAGAACCGACGGATCTCAGCTAGGCGGTGAGGGGGAAGCTGGTTGATATCGGTGTAGTGGCGATACTCTGGATCATCAGCACACACTGCGATGATTTTGTCATCCTTCTCTCCCTAACAAACAATCAAAATTATGTCATCGATGTATAATCATTGGGTTAAACGAATAAAAATGCTTTTGGGGCATCGATAATACCTGATCAATCATAGGCATCAGTCCTATGGCCCTGGCTCGAAGGAAACAACCAGGAAGGACCGGTTCCTGTTGAAGAATTCGATTTACATTTAGTTGACCGTCTTACAAAACTGAAAAACAAAGTTTTGATTCAAAAAAAAAGACCAATGATTCTTCCTGAAAGCGAATCAGTCTGATTCTCCACCAATGCCTTGGTTGTATAGGAAAAACAAGAGTTATTTCTCATACATGTGTACATCTTGTATTTTTCACCTACCTGCATGAGTACTAGTACATCCATAGGGTCATTATCTTCACACAATGTCCGAGGAATGAAGCCATAGTTGTGAGGATAGACCACTGATGAATATAAGACGCGATCAACCTGGGCATCCATTGGAATTGTTGGCAAAGAAGCTATTACAAAGGCTAAAAGCAATAGTATGCATGTCCCTTTTCACCAATTTTGATTAGCAGACAAAGCATCTGTAATTTGGTATTTGACAGTCAAATATTAAAAGCATGTAGACATACGCCACAAGAAAAGTGGATTGCTCTGCCATACCTTGATTAAACCGGTCTTCTTGTCAAGTTCATATTTGACTTTACTTCCTTTTGTAATCTCAATAACCTGTGTAGAAGTAGTATTGTGATGACCAATCAACGACCACATGGGATAACTTAAGAGAATAAAACAGTGCCCATGTTCTTAATCTAGATAAGGATAGGTAATGAATATTGCTTAATAAGGCATACAATGAAACATTTTGTAAGTTGTCAGCAGCAAATGGTCAGCTGCTGGCATACAGTAAAATGGATTAGCTCATCTTCATTTGTAACCAAGAACAATAGGTATCAAATTACTATCAAGCTAAACACAGCTATAGCTAAGCTTTGGAAGTAATAAGCTGACTGAATTGGGGCAATGTGATATGTTTTACACAATACTTAACAAATCAGGTTTTCACAACAATAGGTGAACTGTGATAGATGCTTGAAGAAATAATCGGTGGGCATAAGCTGAATAACTACATACAACATTGACAATCTGGGGAGCTCCGGGTCCTGCATGCAAGGCACACAAAGATATCATTTGTTGTTATCAATTGTATGCAGCCTTGTGTTCTGATTCTGAATATATCAACATGAAGTGTACCTATCTCAAGATCATGCCAAGGATGGGCAGCAACAGATCTCCTTGACAAAGATGAAAGGATCCTCTCATTCAGGCGGGGAGCACTTCTTTGTGGTGCAGAGTTTTCGTTTGTATCATTGCTCATGATTCTGGTTGAATCAAGTATAAATGAAAAGTGTCATGGCCGTCAAGCTCATTTCCATTAGTCATTTCATTTGCAACTGTTTATTTGATGATGAAATGAAATTCTCTAGAGGAGAAGTATATACTACTATTACTAGCAGATGTGAGATTGAAGCAAGTAGTAACTTTAATGATATTGCTTCACGAAATAACTAAAGAGTTGTATACTATGCTTGCAGTATGTGTTGGATGAAAATATTTATNTCAGCACACACTGCGATGATTTTGTCATCCTTCTCTCCCTAACAAACAATCAAAATTATGTCATCGATGTATAATCATTGGGTTAAACGAATAAAAATGCTTTTGGGGCATCGATAATACCTGATCAATCATAGGCATCAGTCCTATGGCCCTGGCTCGAAGGAAACAACCAGGAAGGACCGGTTCCTGTTGAAGAATTCGATTTACATTTAGTTGACCGTCTTACAAAACTGAAAAACAAAGTTTTGATTCAAAAAAAAAGACCAATGATTCTTCCTGAAAGCGAATCAGTCTGATTCTCCACCAATGCCTTGGTTGTATAGGAAAAACAAGAGTTATTTCTCATACATGTGTACATCTTGTATTTTTCACCTACCTGCATGAGTACTAGTACATCCATAGGGTCATTATCTTCACACAATGTCCGAGGAATGAAGCCATAGTTGTGAGGATAGACCACTGATGAATATAAGACGCGATCAACCTGGGCATCCATTGGAATTGTTGGCAAAGAAGCTATTACAAAGGCTAAAAGCAATAGTATGCATGTCCCTTTTCACCAATTTTGATTAGCAGACAAAGCATCTGTAATTTGGTATTTGACAGTCAAATATTAAAAGCATGTAGACATACGCCACAAGAAAAGTGGATTGCTCTGCCATACCTTGATTAAACCGGTCTTCTTGTCAAGTTCATATTTGACTTTACTTCCTTTTGTAATCTCAATAACCTGTGTAGAAGTAATATTGTGATGACCAATCAACGACCACATGGGATAACTTAAGAGAATAAAACAGTGCCCATGTTCTTAATCTAGATAAGGATAGGTAATGAATATTGCTTAATAAGGCATACAATGAAACATTTTGTAAGTTGTCAGCAGCAAATGGTCAGCTGCTGGCATACAGTAAAATGGATTAGCTCATCTTCATTTGTAACCAAGAACAATAGGTATCAAATTACTATCAAGCTAAACACAGCTATAGCTAAGCTTTGGAAGTAATAAGCTGACTGAATTGGGGCAATGTGATATGTTTTACACAATACTTAACAAATCAGGTTTTCACAACAATAGGTGAACTGTGATAGATGCTTGAAGAAATAATCGGAGGGCATAAGCTGAATAACTACATACAACATTGACAATCTGGGGAGCTCCGGGTCCTGCATGCAAGGCACACAAAGATATCATTTGTTGTTATCAATTGTATGCAGCCTTGTGTTCTGATTCTGAATATATCAACATGAAGTGTACCTATCTCAAGATCATGCCAAGGATGGGCAGCAACAGATCTCCTTGACAAAGATGAAAGAATCCTCTCATTCAGGCGGGGAGCACTTCTTTGTGGTGCAGAGTNTTTTTTTTTTTGGAAAGGCCATCAAGATGTGTTTATTAAGCTTACTTCATACGTTCGTACTTCATGACGGAAAAATTGACTCAAGATGAAAAATCTATTTAGTCCAAGTCCAACTATCTTGTCAAGAATTTTAATTTGAATAGGATTTTACATATCATAGATAAATTAACGTACAGATAACATCTAATCAACATATAAAGATAAAGGTCTAATCCTTATCTTTCTATGATTGACTTGATGCTCCATCTTTTAAGTCATTTACTGACTTAAGCATCGGAGACTCGACTCCCGAAGTTCCTCTCCGATCTCCGACTGCTTTTGCAGGTGATCGAAACCCAACAAATTGACATGAATGTTGTCACACCCCATCCCGAAAGACTTATTTGGTATCTCAAATATGGAAATATAACTCGACACGTGATAATAAATGCGTCTGTAATGCGATAAACCATTTAAAATCAATAATACCAACGAATGATCTCATAAAATAGACAAACTATGCAACTCTATGACAGAGTACACAACTCTGTAACTCAATACAACACAAAGTATTAGGGAATTCATCCCTTATGTCAACAAAGAAATGGACACTCCTATACAATATATACACAACCAAATTTCTTTAACCTCTCATCTCGATTCTGCTAGTGTTGTAGTGGACTCATTCTAAACTTCAGCTTCCTAAAATCAAATATTTTCTCATTGTACTGAATATCATAATAAATGAAAATATTGATCAAATATCATTTCACCAAAATATGTTCATAATCTGGAGAGAACTGTAACACCCTCTTCCACTTTCTAATATTTCAAGAACACTAATAACCTTCACAATCATTAAATGATACAGTCTCCAAATAATGAATAAATTCTGATACTAATTGCATATACATTAATTTTATGTACATCCAGACTATTACAACTTAACCCTTATAACATAACACATTTTCAAATCTTCGCTAAAGAAAACATCGACAGTTCAAACATATGCGGACTTCCTTGCCACTAGTTAATCTAAAAAAGGGGAAATAGTGTAGGGTGAGCATCAACAGCTCAGTAGAATAACTCAATTTCCAAGCAAATTGGTTTGAAAATAGTATAGTTTAGTATGATTGGGCAAGAATCCAAACGAGCATTTGATACATATATGTCAGCAAAAACGTCATTTCATGTGAAACTGTAACAGTTAAATAAAACTGTAAAAGAGAATTCAAAAATTCAAGTAGAATGTTACACTGGTGGGCAATTCATCCTAATAGACCACTGAGGGTTCATACGAACAAACGATCCAATAATTTATAGGACTTTCACCCCAAGAAAAATACGCTCTCAAGTCAATACGATCCAATTCAATACCCAAGTCCGAAGAGCAACAGGGCCACCCAGGCATTTACAAACTCAATGAGTACCCTCTACAGCCTCAAACTGGAATGTAAACTATTTTGCCACTCGAACTGTGTGCACTTATATTTCCATAAAAAAGATCCCGAAGTTTCATTCAATTAGAGTAATTCAAGCAATGCAATTATTTCCAAAACATTAGTGCAAACCGCACTTAGACATCCTGATTTGGGTTCGGATTCACGTCAATATTCAAAACACTCAATCATATATTTCAAAACATGCTCAAGAATCATAAATAACATATGGAATAATTTAAAAATAAGTTTGGAAAGCATCGCCTGTTCCAGAATTGAGAAATCCTACCAAACAAAAACTTGGGTACCATATATGAGAATTCAAACCTGCACTAAATAACAGTTAAAATCCTTCCATCCCTTTTTTCTTATTTTATTTTTTTTCTATTTTTCTATCTTCATTTTATCTCTGTTAATCAGTTTTAATGTCACATGTAGGGTTCTTTTGAAACTTAGCGTTAGCGTTTAGCATATTTAAACATTCTGAAGGTAATCTCCACGTGTTAAAACAACTCTAACTCAAATTATATAAATCCAATTCTAACAAAATACATGGGAGATGAACACAGGCTCGTAGGAATTCACTTTCACCAAAAATCACTATTTTTGAATACTAAATACTTGTTCAAAGTAACTCCTAAAACTAGGTATAAGTTACAGGATTTTTAGGTTTCAGCAGGTCATGATCATCTTTAGAAATTCACCAAAAATCGAGTTTTCATCCTTTTTCCGTGAGACCAAAGCCAAAATAACCCTTTATGAATCTATTTCAAACCCTCAAAGTTTAAGATTCATAAACAAACTCTAACTCATAAAACCAATTATAAAACTACATGTTGTCCAGATTTTCCAGAACAATTTCTATAGACTGTGGCTAACTTTCAGAAATCACCAGAAATAATATTTATTTCCATTTTACTTGAAACCAAAACTAAACGAATCTTTTTTCAGTATATATTATAGCCTCAAAATTTCAAAATTATTAAATAATCGTAGCTTATGAAATGAATAAGAAACTCACCTACNGCGTTTTTTTTTTTTGGAAAGGCCATCAAGATGTGTTTATTAAGCTTACTTCATACGTTCGTACTTCATGACGGAAAAATTGACTCAAGATGAAAAATCTATTTAGTCCAAGTCCAACTATCTTGTCAAGAATTTTAATTTGAATAGGATTTTACATATCATAGATAAATTAACGTACAGATAACATCTAATCAACATATAAAGATAAAGGTCTAATCCTTATCTTTCTATGATTGACTTGATGCTCCATCTTTTAAGTCATTTACTGACTTAAGCATCGGAGACTCGACTCCCGAAGTTCCTCTCCGATCTCCGACTGCTTTTGCAGGTGATCGAAACCCAACAAATTGACATGAATGTTGTCACACCCCATCCCGAAAGACTTATTTGGTATCTCAAATATGGAAATATAACTCGACACGTGATAATAAATGCGTCTG